CACCAGAAGGCTAGACCAGTTGATTATCAGAGGTCCTTCCTGACCTGCACTTTCCTGTAATTTTCTGAGTCTGACCACTGAGTCAGCTATCTGTCTAGGTAGCACATTTTATCTGAGTACCTCTAACACATTTAGAACCCTGAGTGTCATAGTAGTCTTGAGATATAGATCTTACACTGGCTTGATTTAAGTGATGTGATCGTCAGCATAAAATATCAGTAAGACGGTAACAAAACACCCTCTAGCTGTCAGGCCTCATCCTCCCCTTTAGAGATTAAACTGTACTTCATTGACAGTCAGGTACTGAAGGGCAATTTGAAATATGTTTATTTTAACATGAGGAATGGCTAGTTTAAAATAAGTAAAGGAGGTGATTAAAAAGTAAGGGTAATCTCTGTAGTGTCATCTAAGAGTAACTTTGTATGTGAGATTAATTTGTCTGACTCCTTTAGACATGCGTATATTAATACATAGTTATACTGTGGCTAGAAGAAGCATGATTTTGGCACTGACAAATGTACAAAACATTTTAAAATCAAACTTAAGGAAAACTTGCATATTTAGTACTTGATAAGTAGCAGCAGATGCTGCTTTGCATTAGATTAATTGTTGTACGGATATTGTTAGATAAAACATTGGTAATGCAAGCGTAAAAAAGTGTATGTGCTTGATATAGTGGAAAATGTATTTACGATTTTACTTGTTCTGTTAATCTTATCCTTTGTACTTGTATTTTTGAATTGTGAAAACAAAGTAGGTGGTGGTTTTGATGTGTCAATACTGAATTTCAGGCCTGGATAATTTATTATTCAAAAACTTGAGGGAATGGATAGATATTTCTAAAATTGAAGTATTTTCTCCAGAGAGAAATTTTACTTAGAACACCTGGCACTTTGCAGTGAGTTAATGAACATCTTGTAACATTTACCTTTGGGAATTGTCTAGTCTTTGCCTTGTTTGCTGTTGTCTAGTAGACTTGCAATTTCTGTGCTTACTGTCCAGTTATGTATGTTATGATGCTTCAGAGAGTTTGCTTTTTGGAGGAGGGAAACTTTATCTCATGTGTTTCATGAACTTCACTAGGAGTTTCTTTGCTTTCTACTTAGAAGGGAAGTATGGTTCATATTTATGTATTCCTCTAGAATGTGGATTTTAGGGAATCTTAACAAATACTTTTTAGTAAAACTTTAAAGAGTCAATTTTTTTGCTCTCAGTGTTGGACTGTTTCTTATCTCTGATGATGAGAGGTTGATTTTGATCAGCTGTGAGACAAACTTCAGGTTGTAGTCACTGATTAAGAGGAGTGGATTCTCAGTAGTGGGTCCAGTACAACCTGAAAGGAGGTTGTAGTGGGGTGGGTGTTGGTCTCTTCTCCCATGTAGTTAGCGATAGGACGAGAGGAAATGGGCTCAAGCTGCGCCAGGGGAGGTTTAGGTTGGATATTAGGAAAAATTTCTTCACAGAAAGGGTAGTCAAGCATTGGAACAGGCTGCCCAGAGAGGTGGTGGAGTCCCCATCCCTGGAAGTGTTCAAAAAACGGGCAGATGTGGCACTTGGGGACATGGTTCAGTCTAGTCTACCCTTGATTGGTTTAGTGTGGACTTGGTAGCGTAGGTTAATGGTTGGACTGGATGATCTTAAAGGTCTTTTCCAACCTAAACAATTCTATGATTCTATGAATATAATGAGTTTCTGATGGAGAGCAGTTGCATTCCTGATACGTCTGCATCTTGACTGCTAACTGCATCAAGCACGTTGAGGTGGACCTAGAAATACGGGAGTGCTGGCATGACTGTTTAACAGGTATTCTGTCTGTGATAGTGTCATGTGCTTTGAAGGAATTATTTAGCTTCTTTGTGACAAACTTCTTTATTTCTGTAGACATCGGGAGTGATTTTAAGCTTTATGAGTCTGATTTGCTGTTGTAGGCTTTGCTAACACACTTTTGGCTGTTTGCTTTTCAGAATTTCTTTTCCATCTTTAGCTTCAGTTTCACCTCTCCTCTTTTTTGTGCTTCTCTTCGGGGTGAAAGTGCCACTTGTATATGATTTTGTAATAAATTGTGTTGTACTCCAGGAGAGGGTTTTCTAGTGAAAGCTGGCTGAAATTGGAAATGGCCTTTTTTCTTTCCAATTGGACCTTCTTCTAACTGTAAACACCCTGTTGTGATACGTCATTAAACCCACCCTACTGTAGCAACCTACAAAGTGGTTTTATGTTATGTTTTTCAGAAACTAATTTTTTCCAAATGTGCTACAACATTGCACATATGGTTTTATGGATAATTTTAATATGACTGATAGAGGTGACTCGCTGAAGAATCAGTGCGATTTAAGAACTTACAAAGAAATTTGCTGATAGAATATAGATACATTGTCTATATTTGTGATTTAAGGGGTAATACTGAACTGCCGTAGTCTTGCTGAATTGTCACTTTGTACTAGATCATAGCAAGTGGAAGAGATTGGCTTTCTCAAGATGATATAAAAGCTGGAATTCCTTTTTGTGGGAGGTTGTAAATAAATGGAGACTGGCTTGACTCCAGAGAAATGTTTAGCTCATCCAGAAGTTTCCGTAGGAATTTAAATCAAGTATTTCATGGTTATGAAGCTGATAGAAACATTAAAAAAGTTCATAAAGAAGAAACATTAAAAAAATGTTTTTTCCTAATTTGTAATTCTATGTCTTGAGATGAGGTGTGTGCATATGTACATGCCTTTGGCATCACAAACACTTGTTTCAAAACATGTCATAAAATTAGAAAGCTTGTAGAAAGCTCCTGGGATAAAGAACACATGTCTTAGATGGATTGTATCCCTGAGAATGTGGATTGTGTAAAATGATGATGAGCAATGTCTGAGGAGAAACATCTGTAAGCACACTTGCCATCATCATCCTTATGATAGAGAAATGGGCACGGGGTGTAAAAAGGAACTTGGTTTACTAGGAATTGTAACCTTTTCTTTCTGTAACCTGTGCTGTAACACCACCCCCCACGGGGGATTTAGCTGCTTGTGTCCCACGGGTCCAGGGCTCTGGATTATGGGTTATACCCAGCTGCATGACCTTGGCTCACGCTGCTAAGAGCGAGCTGTGAGAAGGTCTGCAGAAAAATAAGAACAGTAGAATTGTAGGTAGGATTGTTGAGACAGGATCATTAGTAGCTCAAGGATTCCAGAGGTCAACACCAACGTGGAAGATATAAAATCCTAAATGGGAAAAACGGGGAATCAAGTTGGGGCAGGAATTGTTGGATTATCGGCTCAAGCTGCTAGTGCTGATGAAGCTGGTGGAAGATGGTGGCTCAGCAATATTCAAGGATCTATCTCGGGGAGCCACAAAAGCTGACCCTTCCCAGCTGCCTGCCTGGCTAGCAAGGACTCTTGAGGCGCTTTATCAGGGGTGATGAATATATTAACGCTTAGCCAGTATCACATCCTCATCTTTGTGATTAAACCATTAATTGTTTTACATTTTTAAGTTTGTACATCTTGCCTACTGCTTTTCTCTGCCCCCAGCTAAGTATGCCAGAACACAGTGACTCAAAAAAGGGGTGGTAAAAGAATAACTGAAGAGAGATTTCAGTATTTAATTGTAAGGTTTTGGTTTTGGTCCCCCTCCCACTGCTAGAATAAATAATTAAAGTTCAGTGAGTTAAGAAGTACATCATGTATCTACCCCCTGGCACTTAGGGTTTATTTTGGAAGTGTAACAGGAGTGCTGCATTAGGCTTATTCCTGGCCTCAGAGAAATCTCCTTCAATGAGTGGTATTTTAAACTTGGGCTGGTTCCAGTGTTACTGAAGCATCAGCTGTCAGCTAGTAACACTTCTTTCTCCTGTCAAGTCACCTGGTGCCTGTAAGTTTCTTCTGTGGTGTGACCAAAATGTGCTCACTACATCTATCCCATTCAGTAAATCAGAGCCTGTTGACATGGAATGCCTGCGCTCCATGCAGCCTGGATGAAAATCTCTTAGCTCTGGCTTCTGGCTGTTTTAATTGTACTAAATGGCTTCTTGCTTTACTTTGAGTTTGTACAGAGGTGGCTTCTAGTCAGTTCTCTACTTAATCTCTACTGTTATTTCAAGGCAATTCTGCCATCCTTTCTGAAGTGTTTTAAGTACTCTTCAGAAGGGTTACCATTCAATATTCGATCTTAGCTATCCATGTCTATACCACTGTTTCCTAGAGAAATACTTTAATGCATTGCCACAGCATGCCTGCTATGTTGTTGTCGCCCTCTTTATGCATCCCAAAGAGAAAGTACTGGGTGAGACAGTTCTTTGGGTTGACTCAGTATAGCCATTCTTAACTAAATGAGGTACGCTGAAGATAAGCAAAATATGATGGTCACTGATGGTGGATACCGTAGCTCTTTGGAAGGAGATGCAGCTTTCATACCAACATTGGTGGGGATAGGATTTTGATCTTTCTTTATCTTCCTCGGACACTGGAAGGATGTTATCAGCCAGCATAAGCGAAGCTCCTAAATCATGCCTAGGTCATGAGTCGAAACTGATGCGGCTTGGAAATACAGAATTGTACCTTTCCTTTTTTTTTTCCTTCCCTATTTCTTTAGTTCTTACCCCTTTTTACAAGAAGGAAATATATTTTGTTTTGTTATCTTGTTTCTTATTTTTATCCCATACAACATGAACTTAAGAAACTTCAAGTTGCTCAGATCCTAATGGTGCATTTATCTCTGTATAAGATACCCAGGCATCCACAGACATCCTTGGCACTTTCAGAGGGGTTCAAAATTGCCAGTGTGTACATGGAGTACATTGCAGGGCTGGAACTTGACTTTGAAAGGAATATATGAGAGTTTAATAAAAGTTAAAAATGAGAGTAAGAATGATTTAGGCTTTTTCTTGACTGATGAGTGACTTGTGATTAGTTACATGCTTCTTTTTAAAGACACTGTTGAAGTAGTATTACCACCTATTAAAATGAATGTGCCAGCTTTAAATTCATAATCAATTATCCTTTTACTTTTTATAGTTGTCTTCTCTGAGGAAGAGAGAGAGCAGCTGAGAAAGTTCACAAATAAATCTTATCTTCTGGATAAAAGAAGCCGTCATCATGTATATCTTGGTTTAATTGATATCCTTCTGGCATATTGCTATGAAATCTGTGTCAATGAAGGAGACAAGAATGTAAGTTTAAAAAAAAAAAAGTAGAAATTTATTATGTTTTAGGAACCTAGAGCTGGACACTGTACTGTCATTTAGGAAACTTACCTTTTAAAGTGAACTTACTTCAAAGCCTTAAGAACACATAATTGAATAAGTTAAGAAGAAAGACTTTATATGTCTAGGTTGAGCTGTTGGGATTCATGTGGGGATTAATATGATTTCTAAATTCTTCTGTTCTTCTGGAGCAGCATTTTAGCTGTAGGAGAGAAGCGAGTTGCAGAAGACTCCAGAAAATTCTGTTTGTTTCTGACTTGTGTGTGATGTGTCTTGATTTATGTAAATGCAGATTTCACAAAATAATTGTTCTTTTACATTGATGGTTCTTCCTTCTGTTTTTTGGGCAGTTCCATAATAGGTATGTTTGTCTGTAATAACACCACTATTGATTTGGATTCTGAAAAAGCATGGGAAATCATTAAGTCTGTAGGACTGAAACTATGTGTTTAGTATTTTATGTAGGCTACCTTTATATGCCTTTAACAAAACTGATTTTTTTAGGGTTTTTTGTGTTTTGGTTTTTTGGTGGGTTTTTTTTTTGTTTGGTTGGTTTGTTTTTTAAAAGCTTATGTGCTGAGTATGGAACGTGTTTCCTGAGGCATTCTGGAAACTAGAGTGAGGCATTTAACATTTTTAAAACTGACACACATTTAAAACAAAAAAATCTTAATGCAGCATTTTCTTTTTTGAGTATTCAAATACTGGAGGGAAGCAGGGCGGCATGTTTCCGTTTTCAGGATTCTGGTGTTTGCCCGTCTCTTACACAAGCAGCAGCCAGCTTTATTTTGTGTTCTGCATCCTTGGCTTTTCACAGGATATAAAGAATTAAGAAAATAGCAGAAGTTTAGAATGGATTCCATGCTGTTCTGTGGATAGCTTGCCTTTTTGAAATGGACTTTCTTCCCAGATACAACTTTGTGCCTAGCATCTCCTCTGTTGATATTAAGCAATGAGATGTTTTCTCAATGCTTTTAATGAAGATATTGGAACATATAATCAAAACCATTCTGTCTTAATCAGACTGAATTGCGGGGCATGGATTTTAGAATGGCAGGCAGAAATGTCCAGACCTGCTTATTCATCAGGATAATCCAGGATGGTGGTTGTATTGCGTGTTAGTGTTGCACAAAATTGCAAATATGCAAGGAACGCAATTGTACAGTTCTTTGTTGATCTTTGCAATAACCTCATGGTGTATGTGGAAAACACACTGTGGGTTTTTTCCCCCTTCTCTCTCCCCCCCCTTTTAATAGGAAAACCAAGGCATTCAGGCCACACAAATCTTTACTACAGCCAGGATTAGAGATCAAGGCTTCCTGGCTTTCTGCCCTAATCGTCTCACTAGACCACACTACCACACAGATACTATGAATCTGTCACATTTTAAGAATAGTGACATTTTACATGTACTGCTGGCTTTAGGACTCTCTCTGAAAGCCAAAAGTCTTGAGCTGTTTTCACAAACCAAGGCATTTTAGCTTGAGCTTTGTTGATTCAGGTTTTCATTGCTTGGTGAAAAGGGACAGAATTCCACTAAAAATACCATTTTTCTGTGATTGCTCTTGTATTTTAAAGGCTTTGTGCATGGGCTAGATATTCCCAATACGGAAACCAATTCAGTTATTTAACATCTGCATTGCAATATAATTTTTAATGCTGTCCTGTGGCCATTTCAATGCACATAATATAATTACTGCTTCATATTCACAAAGGTTCTTAAATTGCTGCCAGAATGTTATCTTAAATAGTTTGCCAGCAGTCTTGAATGTTGAATTAGATAATACTTGTTTTACGGTCTCCTCTTAAAATCAGGTTGAATCGTCTTGGAACATCAGGAAACTGAGTGCGACGTTGTGCTGGCTGGAGGTGAGTTAAGACTTGAGTTTTGCATCATGTGTTTGCTGTAGTATTTGGTTTTGGTATTGTATGTTGCTTTTGCGGAGAGCTTACTCTTTCAGTATTGAAGATGAATTAAGTGTATGTCCTCTTTTTAATAAATGTTACAAGAAATTGATCGTGACTTCTGGGCTCCCAGCTACTAGTAGCCTCAAGAGGCTGGAGCATGACGTCTGGTCTGTCTGGGCACCGGGCCTTCTTCTGGCCCGTTCTGGAAAAGCTAAGGACAGGCACTACGAAGCAGCTGCTTGTCTACACACCATCCCTAGCTCCTGGGCTTGATTCACAAGTCCTGACCTTTATTTAGGAAGTAACTGTAATTATTCCTCGTGTATGTCCACAGTATGTGTGTGCAACTCCATACTTAGGGCAAGAAAATACAGCCTTCTGGCTCCTTGATCAGAAGTCGTAGATATCTTCCAGTTTAACTGGCTAAAGCATGTTAAAATAGAAAGGGCATAAAAAGCAGGGGATTTAATTTCTTAGTGTTCTTGTGTCCCTTAAGTCCTGCCTCAGATACATGTTTTAATAACTTTTGAAGATGACAGGCCTTAATAAAGCAGCTTATTGTTCACTTCTGGGGTTTTGACTGCTGAGCCTTTATTCAGCCTTCCTAGTTCATCATTCTGCGTTTCTGGCTTGCTTTTCCTTGGCTGCAAATAAGGTGGCTTCTGGCTTCTCCTCCATTCTGCTGTGTGGCTTCAGAGTATGTTGGAGAGTGGAACTGGGAAGCCCAGAAGTAAATGCAAACCCAATGATAGGAAAAACTCTCGGAACTCAACCAAAAGGTGGTTGGTTGGGGTTTTTTTCCACCTATCATGGAGAAGCCAAATTCCATATTCTTGCAGCAAAAAGACCTCAGTTCTGTAGTTGTAATACTGTTGTCTCATTAAGGCTTTAATGACTGTGATCTTTCAGGCACACGCTCTATACTTTTGTTTCCGGTTTCTTGCAGAGTGAGTTAGTGGACATGTGTTGCTTTACTTGCCCCCTTCTTTTCAGAGTTATTGCCACATCCCTATTTGTTTAGTTGCTGCTAGCCCTTTGAAACCAACATAGACTAAAGGAAACTAACTGAATTATATTCTTTGCGCTTTCAGATTGCGTACTGAAAGCACACAGGCCTGTGTAATGAAGTTGTTACAGAGCTGGAAGTGGAAGGGACTTAACCTGGCCTGTAATCCATTATTTCTTATGATGGCAGCAAGCTAGAAAGGACTGTCCTGTCCTCATTCCTGAAATTACTGGGCCAAGTCTGTTTGCAGGATCAAAAATGAAATTTGACAGGAGTTTTGGGTTCAGTTCTTCAAATGTTTCTAGTAGTGGCGAATGTTATATTCAGTAATGACTTGTTCTGTAACAACTGGTTTTCTAGATCTGTTAGTTTTAATTTGTTTCCAGTTGAACATTCTGCAGAAGCAAGTCACAAAGGAGTGCAGTTAAAATGCAGTGATTGCATTAACTTTCAATTTTTTTTCTGATCCATTTCCTAACATAGTGAAGGAGTTTTCTGCATGTGCTTATCCTATACTATAGCAGTTCTTGGCGCAGCCTGTGCCAACAGTATATTTCACACCCAGAAAATTCAGTCTCCTGGCACCAAGCTGTTAATAACTATATCTGTTACACAAACCATGTAGAGGCGGGTGTTTTCATCAATCTGTAAACAAAATTGCCTCAGCTATGGTTTGTTTGAACTGACTGCCATTTTGCTGTGCATGACACGTACACACCTTAGACTCTAAATATTAAATAACAAAACATAAATGGTTTAAATGCTTAAATGAAAAATGGGTTGAGGTAGTCGTATAATGCAAAAAAGCGCTGGCTGTCAGCAATGCGCTTTTATTAATTTTAATAAATTGAGAGTTCAAGATGAAATAGGTATTTTTATTTGAATTCATAAATGGAGTATTTTGTCTTGAAAAGTGAAAGCTGGAAAGGAAATTACTCTCTTAACAAAGTCTTTAATAACTCATTAATGCCTCTGGCCTGAGTAAATTAGAGGGCTTCCTCACTTGTAGACGAGGACAATGAACTGCTTTCCCTAGGTAGATATATTTATCCCTGTCCTGAATATCTATAATTTTCACAAAAGGCAGAGTCATGTATCATTTTTAAAGATCCTAAATGTACACATGTATTTTGTTAATATCATGTGGTTTTAATTTTTCTTTATTCTTAAAAGGCTTTTTATAGCTTCCCCTTAATATATATAATAATGTGGGACATATGTAATTTATTGCTTTCGTATAAGGAATGGCAAAGTCTTGAGTTAGATGGTTTATTCTAATGTTCTCTATATTCTTTTTTAATTCAAAACTACTAAAAGGTATAAGACTTCTGTTACCCTGCCATGCATACTAGATGTGCAGTGTCTTGTTTCTGTTTAACACGTTGATTTCCATATCTATTAAAATACAGATTTTTAGATGCATAATATATAAAAATATGCTTTTTTTTTTGCTATTCTGCTATGACTTTTTTCCTTAAAGGAAAACAAACAAACAAAACCTAATTCTTTGTATTGAAAAGCACACAGACTTACTCAGATTTTTCACTGATATACACAGAGTTTTACTAGCGTTCATGACGTCCTGGTATCTTTTGGAAGACGGGTGCTATGCTATCCCCTGCACAGACATTTTGGATTAGTGACACGTGCCTTCAATGATACAGTCATGATACTGCAACTAGGTAAGTTTTTTAGGGATTGGAAGTGATACCTATATAGCCACATTGGTTTTATGTCTGGGGTTTTTTTAATAACTTTTGAATCCTTTGGCCAGTTTCACCCAGCCTTGATAGATACCAACATTTCTGGTCACCTTGTGGCTTTGTGAAAATGGGGCTGGGGAGAGAAGAGAACAAAATTCCTTACCAGGAAAAAGCCCCTGAAGCAACTAATTTATTAGCCAGTGGATAATACATGCTGTTGTGGTGTAAATTCAGCTGTATTATCCACGCCAGAAAATCTACACAGAAGAAATGTTATGAATGTTTTATCCTTAGAAAAATCTTGTACCTTGGTAATTCAAGACAGTCCAACTGTGATTTGTAAAGCTTTAGGGAAAAGGTCTTTAAAGTATTTTTCCTCTATACTGTGTTTGTCTGTAAAGAGATTTTTCTGTTAGAAAAGAACATTTTAATGAAACTTTTGTTATGGTAGGTTAGATACTATAATTTTTTTAGACCCTATTCTAAAGGTGTCAGAAGTTTTTATTTCAAAGCAGGGTCACTTACTGTTACAACTGTAGCAGGAGCACTGCTGTTTTCTGTTGTTCTTTGTGTTCTTTAATTACCTGACTGAAATCCTGTTAAAAAAGATTGGAAGGATTTCTGATAACTTCCATGATTTGTCTCCATCTAAGGGAAGTTTTTAAATCATCATTGTCTTAATTGTTCCAACTGTTCTGTTTGATGAAGTTCTGCTCATCATGGTTTTGCAGTTGCAAATCTGGGCAGCTTCCCTGCATGATTTACTGTTTGGAAGAACTATTGTTTTAATTTAACCCGTGTCAGTGATGTTATGGATTTTGATAGAAAGGAAGGTTAAGCTTACCCTAATGCTGAATTCCTGCTCTCCTTGCCAGCTT